AAATACGACCTCATTAGTTTACAGTTTTTGAACAAGATTAAATGCGTTGCATGTAATTGATTTGCTTTCTTAGACATAATTAAATGTTCAAACTTTTTCAAGCTGAAAAATACATTTTTTAATATATCTGTTGTAAATAACAACTTAATTTGAATTTTTTTTCATTTTTTCTATTTGTTAATCTTTCTTCCATAATCACGTATTCTGCTTCCTCACGTTTTATTTTTTGTTTTAATCACAAACCACTGCATTGAGTTATTTTTCTCATACAACTGAATGAATCATTCCTTCTCCTATCTGATTAGTTAATTTGACGTAGTTGATAGATAGATAAATATTCTTACATCATCGAAAAAATTTAGAAATTTTTTAACTTAAATTAAGAATCAGTGAGTAATATTTTAAATCAAGAAAATATGTCAATTATTTATTCGTTATTTGCACTATTGAGAAAAATGAAGCAATGTCATCCGTGTATGGGTTTCGTCCGTTCACACTAAACTCAGTCGAAAACAAATAGAAAAATACATTATATTCTATTTATCTATGAGTTACTTCCTATATATGTTCACTTTTTCCTAGATGTTCGAGTTTTTAAACTGAGCGGTCTCCGTAAAGCAACAACAACCTATACTTCTAGTTCTCTTAAGAGATTATCCAATAAAAGTTTTTTCATGTTTCAAATGTTCATGTTTTATGACAACAATAGAAGGAGGAATCAAAGTTGAAGCAGCTCAAAAATCGTCATGGACATCTCTCAAGGAGCCTCGAGATATGGAATTGTTCCTTTTTCTTTAATAGATATCTTAATTCAAAACTCGAACATGCAAAAGAATGCTTGTAATGTGTTTTTTTATTGATTTGAACTGCCTGTGAAATACATTTTGCTTGACAAAAAATAGTCGAAGTGGTAGAGTTCGCAGAAAGTATATTTCTTTTCCTAAAACCAAAATAGGCTTCATATAAAGGTAAATCACCCTTTTGTATATTTTTGAGAAGTTGTATTCTCTTCTTGAAACACCTAGTCGATAGCTCGTTCAACTTTTTCAAAATGAGAATTCTTTAATCGTTGAAAATTCTCTGGTAATAATCTAGATTAATTTTTTGAGAATATCAACAGAATGTTGTACACAGATCAGTGAATTCTTGTTTTCAAGGAAAATGAGCTTCTATTGTCTAGTTTATTTTAGAACTGTTTAGAATGCATTGTGACTGCCTAGATTTCCAAATATTTTGAGCTTATTCAAAAAGAGTGCTTCAAAATTCGAATTAATGTCTAGGGAAGGTTTCTCTGTGAGTGAGCAATTTGAAGTTTCTGAAACAGCGATAAACGGTCTATAAACCTTTACAAATATAATCGGTCTGGATTGGAAAAGTACTTTTCATCTTGAAAAGGAAACGTGTCCTCTATATTTTCCTAAACAAGAAAGATCTTGAATTTTCATTGTTGTACTCAGCATTGAATTATTTGTGCAAAAAATAGATATTTGGTCCTCTCTATGTTAATTTTCACAGCACATGGAGGAATTCTNTTTTTTAACTTAAATTAAGAATCAGTGAGTAATATTTTAAATCAAGAAAATATGTCAATTATTTATTCGTTATTTGCACTATTGAGAAAAATGAAGCAATGTCATCCGTGTATGGATTTCGTCCGTTCACACTAAACTCAGTCGAAAACAAATAGAAAAATACATTAGATTCTATTTATCTATGAGTTACTACCTATATATGCTCACTTTTTCCTAGATGTTCGAGTTTTTAAACTGAGCGGTCTCCGTAGAGCAACAACAACCTATACTTCTAGTTCTCTTAAGAGATTATCAAATAAAAGTTTTTTCATGTTTCAAATGTTCATGTTTTATGACAACAATAGAAGGAGAAATCAAAGTTGAAGCAGCTCAAAAATCGTCATGGACATCTCTCAAGGAGCCCCGAGGTATGGAATTGTTCCTTTTTCTTTAACAGATATCTTAATTCAAAACTCGAACATGTAAAAGAATGCTTGTAATGCGTTTTTTTATTGATTTGAACTGCCTGTGAAATACATTTTGCTTGACAAAAAATAGTCGAAGGGGTAGAGTTCGCAGAAAGTATATTTCTTTTCCTAAAACCAGAGTAGGCTTCATATAAAAGTAAATCACCCTTTTGCATATTTTTGAGAAGTTGTATTCTCTTCTTGAAATACCTATCGATAGTTCGTTCAACTTTTTCAAAATGAGAATTCTTTAATCGCTGAAAATTCTCTGGTAATAATCTAGATTAACTTTTTGAGAATATCAACAGAATGTTGTACAAAGGTGAGTGAATTCTTGTTTTCAAGGACAATGAGCTTCTATTGTCTAGTTTATTTGAGAACTGTTTAGAATGCATTGTGACTGCCTAGGTTTCCAAATATTTTGAGCTTATTCAAACAGAGTGCTTCAAAATTCGAAATAATGTCTAGGGAAGGTTTGTCTGTGAGTGAGCAATTTGAAGTTTCTGAAACAGCGATAAACGGTCTATAAACTTTTACAAATATAATCAGTCTGGATTGGAAAAGCACCTTTCCTCTTGAAAAGGCAAAATGTCGTCTATATTTTCCTAAACGAGAAAGATCTTGAATTTTCATTGTTGTACTCAGCATTAAACTAGTTGTGTGAAAAATATATATTTGGTCCTCTCTATGTTAATTTTCACAGCACATGGAGGAATTCTTCCGAAATGACATTGGAGAAATGTCGCAGCGTTTTGTGAAATGCCAGGCGACTGATAGTATACATCTTGTAGCGCCAAGTTTGAATCTAATATGTATTACATTGAAATTTTGAAGGAAATAGCTGACTTCTCCGGCGTACAATGAACTCTTCACTATCTTCTAGAGGGAATAATCCTGTCTCTCACTGCTGCCGTCGACTTCATCTGACAAATAAAGCAAGTCCTAATTGGCACTAGATTCTATATATTTGCATCAATGAGTAAGTGAGGTTTCGTTATGTTTTATATTTAAGTATTTTTCTTTGANATGGAACCCAAAACTAATGCCTCTAAAAGAGATGTGCTCGAGTAAGTATCAGCTATACTGTATACTCTATCCGATAATGGTGAGTTTGTTGTAGATTTTGTGCTACCAACAGTTGTTATCACCATTGATGTAACTGAATCAAAAGAATAGTTGTGTGTCAAAGAAAAATACTTAAATATAAAACATAACGAAACCTCACTTACTCATTGATGCAAATTTATTTACACCTGTACTGTTTTGTGAACGTGCTATAAAGAGACATAAATATAATAAAGTCGTGATAACTTAATTACTGCGATTCTAGTAGTTCTAAAGCTTGCAAAGCATACGAACTTACTCGTAGTTGAAGGTCGTGTTGTTGTAGCATTTGTTCCTCTAACTGTTGTGCTTGTTGTAGCATTTGTTCCTCTAACTGTTGTGCTTGTTGTAGCATTTGTTCCTCTAACTGTTGTGCTTGTTGTAGCATTTGTTCCTCTAACTGTTGTGCTTGTTGTAGCTACTCCGAGAAATTATTAAAAAAAATCACTTTCACTATAGTTCAGGAAAGCTAAGACAGGACACTAGAAGTTGTTTTACCTGTTGCAATCATTGGACAAATCAATTTATTTGCTAAGGCTAATGGGTAGCAGATTGGCTGGCCACAGCGTGTACTATTGACACAGACTGTGTTATCGATGGAGCATGTAACATTATCCATATTGCACCGCACAACACTTGCACAGGAGAAAAAAATTGAACCACAAATTCCTACATTTCCATTCGATGTTAACGAAAAACAGTCGCAGTCAAGATTTGATGAACATGGTGTTCTTTTAGAACTACATGCAGTGAAATTGCATGTTGCTGTCATTGTCGAATTAACTGAGAAAAAAAACAATAAAAAGTAGAGAAAATGAGACTAATTATCAGCTAACTAGTTGATTGTAGTCCTTGTGAAGTATTTCTGTTATACAGAAGAAAAAGAAAGCATGTATTATATGAAAAATGAGATTCGACACATACATTAAAACCAGGATATAGGTTAAAGGTACGAAGATGAAGCTCGAAATTTTCATCATTGTCACGACTACTGCAAGTAACCAGTAAGAAGTTTCTTCTTTTTCATCATCGTTTGATGTTTTTTATACAGACGTCGTTGGGCACTAGAAAGAATGGTCAAGCGTGTTATTTCATAATGAAATTAGTATACTTTTTTCTAAAAAAAAATCAACCAAGGACACTTATTATTGCTAGAAGTAGTCCTCTTTTGAAATTATGAGTGTGTTTACGAAGAGAGAAAAAGTGCTTAAGAGAGGCTGAGTGAAGTGGGATTAAAAAAGAAAAGGAATGATCAAAATTATAATTTTCGTTTTTTTCAAATCAGGGTTACAACGTATCATGATGTGCTTGACTAACCCTTATCTTGTGAACTGCAGACTAATTAGTATCTGCTACAGGATAGTTATGAGCGACGAAATATCATTGCGCGCAACTTTATCAATATGTTTTAAGTGGTTATATGCGTAGAATTTTTCGCATCCTAAAATAGTCTTTCTCGGAATAATCTATTCACTGATATAGATATGACGATTGAAGCATTTATACATCAGCCAGACTTTGTGCTTCTATCCTGTTTGCCAACACGTTAAACATGAATATTATCGAGGCAAGTTTCTTTCAACGTTTTTTACACCTGAATGAAAATAAGAGTTTTTCTGCATGAAGAAATCAAATGAATTTTTTTTAATTATGAAAAACTTGTTTAGATTGAAAAGAAAATGAAAACAGTATAAAATAAAAACTTATCAATTTGAAGAAAGCTGAATATACACTCAGTTCTTTCAAGTTCTATAA